AACATACCCGACAATAATGCGCCACTCGTGTACGGAAATACCGCATCCCCCGGACTTCATTTCGGGGACCCTTATGGGTGTCGAAAGCGTGTAAACCGAATGGTGACGTTTACATTTAAATCTAACTTTCGATCGCTACAATCCGCGTTGTAAAACAAACTCTGAATACCGATTTTGAGCTTGTTATTCGGTCCGGGATCGCTCACTATTGTTGTAGTGGCTCCTTCCAAAAGTCACGGGAAAAAGATGTCGGACACACAGACAGTTCGATCGGAAAACGTCGACTCGCGGTTAAGTTTATGCAATTAGTCAATTGACAAAAGGTTAACAACACGTTAACTGCCGTCTTATATTATTGCTGACCGAGTCGTACGCCGGGAGTTAATTTAAAAATTCAATCAAGTCGAGGTGGTCTTTCCTGCTTTGCAGATTAACTATTACATTATTATCCGGTACTTTTACGTATTCTCCGATATCGCAATCAATTTTCTGAATAGATAATTGTTATATTTTTATATGATACCGGGCCGACGGAATTTTGCTGGGCTGTATTTTCTTTTAATCGACATTTTTGGTTTGAAAAGAAAAATTAAATAAACATTTCAATTTGCCAATCAACGGACAATACCATAATAATAATAATGGGCGTATGCAAAAAAGGAAAAATAAAATCAACAATGGTAATAATGACGGCGACAAAGCGAAAAATGCATACAACGAGATTGAAAAACCAACGGATTTTCACTTTTCTTTATGCGGCAAATATGTGTATCGATTCCCGCGGCCGCGCGTGACCTATTGAACAAATTTCGAAAAAATTCAAAATTCAAAACAAGTGGCCCGGTGAAATTTCCTATTATTTTACGATTATCGTCGGGTTATAGGTACCAGTACGTGTACACTGCAGTACGGGCGTTACATTAGGCGCCCAATTAGATTGTTTAATGAAGATTATTGTGCGCGACAATAGGGCCGGGGAAAGGCGAACTCGCACAAAAGTAACCATTCCGGATTACTGAAAGTTTTTCTACACCTGCAGTTGAAATGTACGAAGAAATTTCGTTGAAAACGTAACGAAATTGTAATTTATTAATTCGTATAGTAACGCTACATAATATCTCATTTTCGTATTAATGATGATTTGGTAAAATGACGGTCAGTAAAAAAAAAAAAAAACAAAAATCAATCACTATTCTACGATAGTGAATACGATCTGAACCCAACCTCTAACTGTATTATATTACAGTTACCGCGTTTATCGAATGACCGCGATAAAAGAAAAAAAAAAATTTCGAATTTGCCGATCAGCCGACGTCAACTATCGTTTCTTCTGCGCGTATTATTTAGATAAAGTTTGATAGAACCACTAGGCGTCTGTGTACAGTGCAGCTATCGATCGTCGATGTGCGCCGGGATTCGGGATGAACCGTGTGATATTGAAGATAATATCTTCGAAATTCAATTATAATAATCAACCCGATCCAATTGAAATTGAAATTTGTTGATCTTTAACCCAAAAATCGAGTCGAACGATTTTCGGGACACAATGAGAGAACCGCCTCCTCGCGGTGTATAACACTCCCTCCCCGTTCCCCGGGTAACTCAAAACGGTTCTTGAACTGACTATTCAAATAGATATATACGTATATAAATATAGATGCGGCGGAATCGATAATAATTGGCGGAAACGAAAATCGAGTTTTTCGACGGAAACGACTGAAACGCCCTGGTTATTGTCGTCGGCTCGTTACATGTCCCGCACAGCCATTGACGGACCCGGTGGTGGGGGGGTATATTATTTCTCCGGTTTTTTGTTTTCTTTATTCCAATTACCGATATGTATGGTAAAATAATATATTACATTTTATTTCACTTGTATTTGCGTGGTAAAGAAATTGTTGTAGTTGTCCCCCCCCCACCCCCAGATCTTTGCTGTGGGTCCGTGCTTGCACGCAGCGTGTTTCATTTCAATACTTACGCGACAGCGACAAACAGTAATACGGTGTTCGTCGTCGATGTTTAAGTAGGTACGTTTCCCGCGACCAAACGGACACCCGGTCAACAGACTAGTTGGACGCCCAGGAATGGAATGGTTCGCCCGCCGGGCGTGTCCCTGCAGTATTTAATTTCTGCGAATTCTCGCGGAGAAAATATGACAGAAGCCGGCGGTTGCCGGTCGGCTGAAAATATTTTTGACCGTGATCGTGCTGTTATGTGTCTAAATAAAATAGTGAGCCCTCCCCCAACCCCGTGATATTTTCAAAACTTTGATAGTCTGATAGCTGTTGTCACGAGAGTTGTTACTGTCGCACTGTCGCCGTGTGAACAATATACTGTCAAACTATTGCACTATCGCACTATTACGCGTGCACGATAGTTTTTAGCTTAGTCGCGATAGTGACAGTATAATCATCATAGCGGGAACGACGATATATCTATGTTTTTCACCGTCGCGAATGCTAAGCGCTAAATCTTGCACGGTACCCACCTACCCCACCTATAATGTCTACGGTTAGACCGTTGGATTTCGAATGTTATGTTCGAATATACGTGTATAAATTTGGCGTACGGATAGTTCATTGCAGTGATCCGCTAAACGAGGATTTTTGAGGTTACGGATAATTTCGATACGAATATCATGCAATTGTTTATTTATTTTCGTTTATGCGTGGGTTGCCTTAGCTATACGGGATGGATAAAAACACAAAATAATTGGCCCTAGCAACGCCGGACGGGACAGCTAGTAAATAACGTACTTGTATAGTCGACATGGGCCAAATTTTGACAAAAATCGTAAAAGTTACGACATTTCAAAACATATATGTAACCGAACTTCGCTCAGAATCGCATTTCGTTAGCAATGATTTATCGTTGTTTACACATATATATATATATTAAATAACATTGTCCTTCATTTCCAACTCCCCGTCTACAACAGTCATCATCTCATCCACACTCATCTCCTGCATTCCAGCGCTTTTTTGCTATGTAATTTATTCAGTAAGAAATTATCGGTTTTGCGCGAGAATGAAAAATAAAACGGTAAAAAAAAAAATCGTAATAAAAGAAAAAGAAAAACAATTTGTTTTATAAAAATCTCGCGAATATTTTAGAATAAGATTAATTAAAAAAAAATAAAAATGCCAAAAAAAATGCCAACGGCACGTAGTGTTCCCAAGCGGTCACCCATCCAAGTACTAACTACGCCCGACGTTGCTTAACTTCAGTGATCGGACGAGAACTGGTGTATTCAACGTGGTATGGTCGTTGGCGATAAACTGATGCGCTATGAAGTTATTTAAACATGCGTTCACTCGTATTGCTTATAATTATAATTTGTTTGATTGTTTTATCCGGTGGTGGATTTAACGTCAGGCAGATTAGACGGTTGTCTAGGGCGGCGATTTTACGTCAATATTTTATTGGGAATACTAGTTTTTTTTTTTTTTAATATTTTTAATCTTTACAGTTGAAGACAACTACCCGTCTAAAATTTATAGCAATACATTTTCGTAATCCAAAAGTTAATTTAGTTTTACACATATTTATCAAGTGTCGGTTGCATTACACACTACGTGTACAAAAACGAAACTTTTATCCGAAAGATAAAATTGTAATAATATTTTTCTTCGAGACTATGAAATAGAGAGCGGCAGAGTAGCGAACAGGTATTTTTCGCGTGTTTATAACGACTTTTATTTACCAGCAATTTCGCTCAGACTTTCATTGGCAGCACTTTCTCTAAAAGCATCAGATATCCTTTGGGGGGGGGGAGGTATTTTAGCGCGGTCATTTTTTCGATTTTCCAATAAATCGGAAAGACCGGAAAACAACGTAGGAAAAACGGGAAAACAGGTGCAACATGAAACAAATTAAAGCAACTACATCAAGCACACGCAATTATTTCACCGCAGTATGACGTCAATCGCTTTTGATTTTACAAGACGACCCGTAATCGGCCAACGACTCGTTTCGCACATCATATCAAGTCATGCACTTTACGCGGCAATACACGTACAGCTTTCATGGGGCGGTATACATTTTTCTGCGGCGAGGGACACACCCCCCTAACCCTTGAAATAAACACCGGTATTCACTATACGGGATCGCGTCGTAAAGTCAACCCGTGTGAGGTTTTCGTGCTATTAAAGTGTTGTGTGTAGAAGACCGCTACGGCGCGTTCCGGTCGGAATCGTGTAAACAGTCCGACAAAACGAAAACAACCGAACACGCTGTCATTATTATTACAGCGCAATCCGAAAACACGGTGTCACGATTACCCGATTATTACCCGTCTTAATTTACCGGAACCGCGGTTACCGGACCGGGACGCGGCGCCGCCCGGTAACCTCCGCGGGTCGCGGGCCCGCGGCTGTCGGCGCGGCGCCGCCGTACGACGACGGGACGAGACCTGAGCGAACGGGCGCGAGAAACGAAATCGGCCGTCGCGACGCCCGCAATAAGAGATCGTTTATTATTCGTTTGTCGTTTACAATGCGCCGGGATTCCGCGCCGAGAAAAGGGAATGAAAAATAACAATAATAACAATAAAAATATAATAGTAAAAGATCCTGCGCCAACGTAACGCCGCTGCAGTGTTACGGTATTGTGCGTGTCCGAACGGGTCCGCGTAACGACGCGCGGAGTATAAAAAAAAAATAATCATAATAAAATAAATAATAACCGGGCGACAATGTAACGCGGCGGCGGGCCGCGGTAGCGGTCACGGGCGGGGGCGTCGCGCGGGTCGATTCGGGCGCGCGCAGGTGTTTGCGTTCGGGCCGCGAGGGTCGTCCGTCCGCAACGTTCGCCATCTGCCGCGGTCCTCCGCCATGGGATCGCGAGAATCCGATGTTTCTCACGGTCCCGTGTCCCGCGTGTGCTGCGAGCGCGCGCGCAACGCGAGACTACCGTCGCCGCATCTGCCAGCACCTGCCCCGCGCCATTATTTGGGGGACCGTCGCCTATATAAGAGCCCTGCGACCGCACCACCGGCAACAGTACGCATCCGAACGCTACGCACGTCGCACGTCGCTTCCGCGCTACTGTACTTCCACAATCACGGCCATCCTCGCCCGTGTTTACGTCAGCGCGTTATCAGTGCGTTATCGCCATCATCGTTTTATTTCATTTTTCTACCTGTCCACGGCCGCGACAACATTGCGAAAATGGCTTGTTTATCGAACAGCTTCGACTTTGAACACATGCAAAACTCGACCAACTGGGAGGCCGTCCAAAAGAAACGGTCGTTCGTCGCCAGAAAAATGCACAAAATCAACAAGGTAAGCGCCATGCACACACATACCCGGAAACCATTAATCTTTGCGAATGTTTCCGAATATCCGTCGTCTCTTTTACGATCGACCGTTATTGACGGACGCGTTTCAAAAGGCAAATTTATTTACGATTGGTTTTTTTTTTCTTTCTGCTCTTCACAGACTCTGAAACCGATACTGAGAGCTTTGTGCCGCCGGAACTCCGTGACCCCCGCGGAACAGCGCGGTTCGGCCCTGGACCCGCGCCGCCTGTCGCCCGAAGAACTGGAAAACCTGCAGAACGAGTACATCGAACGCAAACTGTCCCAGGCCGTGGTGTACGACGACGACTACTACTCCTCGGACACGGTCAGCCTGGAATCCGGACTCGGGATGTCGTTCGAGGAGCTCAGACAGCCGGCCGTCGAACACCGACTGCTGTCCGTGCTGCCGGAAGCCCGGTACTACATGTCCCGCGACTTTTGGTTCGAATCGGACATCCGCACCGCCGGCCGTCCGTCCTTCACCAGGCAGCAGACGCCGCAGAGACAACAGCCGCGGTACGTACACTGAGCACGCGCCGTACGCTGCAGATACGCCACCACGCCGAGGCGCGTCCGCCGTCGTCGCCCGAACGTCTTTCACGGATAATTATACAATTTTTTTTTTATGTCTATACGTTCGTTCAGGGATTTTTTTTTTTATCCCGCCGCTCAAACTTGTTGATTATTTTTTATACAAATATTATATTTTACTCGTGTATATATTATTATTATTTTTTTTTTTTTGGGGGGGGGGAGAATATATATTTTTTCGCGGTATTAAAATTACCGGATCTCAAACCGATAAATTGTATACTGTATAACTTTTATTTTATTCGCGATTTTGTTTGTTTATTTTATTATTATTATTTTTTTTTTTCGTACAATAAATATATAAACGTACTTTATTGTATTTTCGTCAGTACATACGAAACGCCGACGTTTCGTTTGATAACGGCGACGCGTTATTATAAATAATATTATATATGTATTTTGTGATAAATAATTTAGTTGTTTTTAACGGCGAATCTGTGATTTTTTTTTTTAAATATAAATAGAGCCGTCATATACTGTGATGTGACCGACTGATAATGAATACAAATATGTATCGTGTACATTGTGTATGTTCTCTTATACTGTTGAATATTATTGAAATGATTATGAATAACAATAAAAAAAAAAAAATATTCGATTTTAAACACGTTGTTTACTTCTTGTTTGTACGCACGCAATAGCGGCTGAAGATAATCCTAAATTGTTGTCCAACCGGCGTCGGACGACGTACAATAACAGTGATGCGCGACGCACCGCGTGATTACTGCGCGAAACGGGTACGCGACGGCGCCCATATCACGACGCATGATAATACACAACAGGTGGTGTAAACAAACGAAATTCGATAAGGTGTCGACCGCGCGGGTATACGGTCGACAGCTCGCACTACACACACGTATCGTACAGTGATACGTTTAGCAGCGGTGTACGGTGTGTGTGTATTGTCGTCGGATCTCGTAGACCCGATACGTTAAAAAACGCGGGATTTTTTTTTTTAAAATTTAAAAGAAATCCCCGTATAGGTACACGCGTATATGAGGTAACGGGCTGTCCGACCGAATCGGGTTTACGCGGAAATCCGGACCGTTTATACATAGCAGTACCTGCGTATTGTTGTTTTCCGATTTCCGGGCGTTTTCGGCGCTGTATCCGAAATGTTTATTGAGATATTTTTTAAAAAAAAAAAAAAAACTAATGATGGAAAAAATATTTAAAAACTGCGGCGCGATCGGTGGTTTTACCGAAAACCTCGCTCCGACCGTCGACTAAAAGGTTCGCGGTTCGCGGTGGGCAAATTTGTCGAATCGATGCGTTTAGAAGCGTTTTTCACCGGGTCTATCGTACGTCGTACTAAGTGGCTAGAAAAAAAATAAATAAATTGAGAGAGTACCTAATGCAGTATTTATTTTATTTTTTTTTTATATATACGCGTTTAATGTTCAAACCCTTATTTCAATCGCGGCGTCTCGCGAAACATAATTATAACACGTCTGACCGGACTTGCGACTTTTCGAATTAACTTTCAACTCGACCTTGGCAATTAATAAAACGAATTAATAACTTTAAACGCGTTCGTTAAATCTTTGGTCGATTAACTCGGCTTAACCGTCGTGGTTTTATTTTTTTTTTTTTATTATTGTTCGCATTGACTCGGCCTTGCTGCGGAACGCATTACGATTTAATATACGAGTATACCGCACAGCCCGTCATTAAAACATCGTCGAATGATCGTTTCGGCACAAAAAGTAAAAACACCATACAATATGTGATCGGTACAACGCTGAAACGGTGGCTCTTTCGTTCGCTTTTCCCTTTCGTTAGAGGTACGTTTTGTTTTTGTTTTTTTCACACGGGTGACGAGAACCGATAATTTACAATACCATCGGACGGATCAACAGCAAACCGTTTTAATTTTACAAAACAACCGTTTCCGATTCGGAGGTTAAACGCCGCAGTCGTCTTTGGCGGGAATATCGATCGACTCGGATCGACGGGTATTTTTGTTGTTGTTGTTGTTTTTTTCGCGCTCAAATATAATATTCCGTCTAGACTTCGTCACTCCGTCTACGCTTGCTTTTGATTTTCAAACCCATATTGAAAATTCCATGAATAGACGAAATATGTTAGTTAAAACGAATGTCGGCTTTGGCGTTTTCGATTTCCGTAAAACCCGCGGACGAGATAGACGTGTCGGAGCAGCTTGGTCCCTAAATGACGTTCCGGCGGAAAATAAATACCGGAAAAAGCATAATGCTTTCCGGCGTGCGTCTTACGACGGATCGATCTACCCGTACCGAGACAAAGGGCAAAACCGTCGGCACGGACCGGCCACTACCGTGTAAATGCCCGGCTGACCCGGACCCGGCAACGGTCCGCTGTTGCTGGACATCACAACAGTGCAAATACCCAATAGCAATGATACGTAGCGATCGTCTTGTCCGTGACAACCGAATATTACCGTCCGTACCGCCAAGGCACCGCCCCCCACCCACGAATAAATGACGTTTTAAACTCGTATTTATTTTTGTAATCTTTTTTCCGAAACAACCGTTGCTGTTGTCGTGGAAACGCACACGCGTTGTCGTCACCGTTTTACCATAATATGACGCGTCCATGTGCGTTGTCGACAAGGCAACAAATCCGCTCAGAATCGTTTTTTCGTCAGCAACGGTTATTTATCGTTGCTTATTGTTACGGACACACATCGAATTCCCGTCTGTATCTCACCTATCCCACTTCCCGCCTTACAGGTCGGCAGCGGCACCCACGCGCGAAGTGGTGCCCGTCATTTTTTATCCGACGTATTTTCTACCAACGGCGTCGTCGTTTTGGAATAACATCCGAAACGCTGCTTTTAGATTGTTTTTTTCCCCGCCCGATTGACGGAGTGCGAATCACGTAATATCATAATAATAATAATAATAATTTCGCAATGTGTGCCAAGGCGCCGCGTTAAATTGAATTCGCGCGGGACACCTCTCGGCAAAATAATATAATCTCGCGGCGACACGACCTCCTCCGTCCTCGTCCTTGATACTCTAAACGCACCGCGAAACGACATAATAAATACGGGAACTCTCGACAGACCTCGTCTTTGTCGGGTATTGGGCAGTCGTCGTCCGTAAAATTCGAAATTAACACCTATAATAATATATTGTCGTTGACGCCGTTCGTTTTTTGTCGGATACCCCCCCCCCCGCCCCTCGAAAATACTTTGTCGCTTTAATACTTTTACCGGCGCTGAACCAAACGAACTTCAGCTGCGGGGAATTATTAGTGTAGTTGTTTTTGTATGATATTTGATTATGTGGGCGGAAAGAAGTAATAGGTACAATAACTTTACAGATCCCCCGAAACAGTGACGAATTCGGAAAAATTTTTCAGGTGGAGGAGAGGGGACACAGTACAGAAATCTCTCGCTGTGATACTATAGGGAAATTAAAAGTACCTAATTAATCACAGCTTCCGAAAAACAGTACAATAAAAAGACTCGGAGGGGAGAGGGCAAATGCAATTACTTCCCCCTCTAAAATACGCCGTTGCCCCCAAAATGGGGGGATAGAATTTCGTATATTGCCCGCACAGGCGTTAGTATCGAGTGTCTTTTGGCCATTTAAGCAGCCCTTTAGCGTTTTTTTTTACGCTCGAATTACTCCGTTTTTTGTATAAATTCATCTTGTACACATATTTTGTGAATTTTCGTCGCCCTAATAAAGTAGACGTAATTAAGATTTTCATGTTACCGAAACCTACCAACGCATCGTCCCCCCCTTCTCCTTGGCCACCGAAACACGTATTACTTGATCGCGATTCGAGGGGGGCTATAAACACGTCTAACGCCCCCTCACCCAATTACGTGTTTAATAGTAGTGGTACCATGACGTCACGAATATCGTAGGTATATTAAAATCCGAGGTGATTAAAAAGAAAAACGTAACGCCGGGCGAATCGAAAACGAATCGGCTATGGGGGTTTTGGGAAGGGGGGGATTTGCGCGGGCACGCGTGCCCTCCGGGTCGTCTCCGCGCGCGCGCGCGCGGCAGGATAATTATTATCGTAGCGCGTACTATACACGAAATGTACACAACAACAAACACGCACGTGGTATGGAATAATAAAAAAAAAAACCGCGTATCGGGAACGAGAGGAGAGAAAAAAAAAAAAAAAAATCTTCGAGACGGCGAGTCGTTGCCGGCGGCGGCTGCGGCGACTGCGGAAAGAGGTGCGAGCCGCGAGCGGCGGCGGAGAGAGGAACGGCTGCCGCGGTGCGCCACTGCTGTCGCTGCTCCTTATTGCTTCTGGTCGGCGGCGGCGGCGGCGGCGGCAGCGTGGGAAACGTTTTCGGAGAGAAACCGGTGATGCCCCGTGCCGCCGCCGCCGCCGCCGTCGTCGTGTAGTCGTTACCGTGGGAATGCAGCGGGCTCCTTATAATAACCGTACACCCGCCCGCCCGTCCGTCCGTCCGCCGAGGACCCTCCGCCCCCCGCCCGCCCCGCAACCCTCGTACGTAGCTCGCGCGAGACCGTGCGCGCAATCTCCTTCGCATAATATTATACCGTCGTGTCCGTTGTGCGTGTCGTTGTTGTCGGTTTTTATACGCGCGCGCGCGCGCGCGCGCCAGATGTGCACGTACACGGCCGCGCGTAGGTACTACACGGCCCCGCAATACGGGCCGTCGCGCGCGTGTGTGCGCGCACACGAGTGAGACGAAGACGAGAGTTGTTTTTTTTTTTCTGTATTTTCCTTTTTGTTCGGCGCACGTACGCGACGACGTACAATATAATAAACTGTACGGCCCCGCGCGGTACGGGCGCGTATACAATACACGCGCGCACACTCCACATGTACACACGTACCGTACGTACAAGCGCGTGCGCGACCGTCTAAGATTCACACGGTCCGGCCCCGGTCCTTTCCCCGAGCCTTTTCGCTTTTTACCCTTTCTATTCCCGCGCACCCGTCCGCGCCATTATTATTATTATTTCATATTGTTCTTACCGATTGTTATTTATTTGGATTATGATGCGCGCGGTTTTATTTCGAATCGACCGTTTCCCCTTTCCGCCGTGTAATAACAACTATTACGGTCGCATTGTCACGCGGGCGGGCACACGGCGGAATCGTTATTGTCGTCCAACAGAGTTTTCGGGTTTGTCACGTTGTGATAATGCACGGGTCGCCGCGGTCAGTCGTCCGCGTTATTACCGCGATTATTCGTTTTATTACCGACGTGTCGATGATAATGACGCGTCGGCGGCGGTCACTCCGCGGCCATTGTTCGTACCGTTTGTTTTGCGCGCCCCTCGGCGGCGATTAGCGTTAGTCACGTTAGCGCCGCGCCAATAAATGCGCAGCGACGGCAAAGCCGTTTCGCACCGGTTTTCACTCCGGTACGGCGTGCCGGTGCACCCGCTCGGGGCCGGATCGCCGGCGACTGTGGCGTACGGGAAGTGCGGCGAAATCCACTATAACAGTACTTTTTATTTTTACGGTCAAACGTATTATCGTACGTTTTTTTTTTCTCTCTGAAAACGTAATAAAAATAAAAAATAAAAACCTAATTGAAATAATTTGGACAATGGAGTGGCGGCAATGTTCGCTTTTAACCGGACGGCATACCCGCATCTAC